CCCCCACCCTACCCCCACCTTGGCCTGGAAGAAGGCCCTGCGCGTGGCATTGGCAGGTCTCTGAGCTCCCAGAAAGCCGAGCTCTGAAGTGTCCATTTTCCTGCCTCTTCTGGACCAAGGTGCCCTCCAGAGAGGCTAGGCACTGCCTCGCAGCCTTGCCTCTTCCTCCTGGCCAGCCCCACAAAGGAGCTCCTGGGGTTGGCTAAACCACAAGGACATTTGAAGGGAACACCTGACTGTCCTTGTGGGGGCAGGGGCCGTCCGCTGTCCCTGCCTGGTGCAGCCTGGCCCCATCACCCTGATGGAATGTCACCTGTGGAGTGGGGCAGGCTGAGCAGCTGGCCACCTGCCAGGGAGACACCTCTCTGGAGCCCCCACCCTGTGCCCTGCCCACCCCAACCCCAGCTCCCGGGCCTATTCAGGAAAGTCTGTGGGTAAGAAGCCTACCCATCCAGGGAGGCCGCCCTCAGTCCCCGGCCCAGCTGGGTGCAGCCCCTGGGATGGGGCATGGCCACTGCCCCACCTGCCCTGGCGCCCCCTGCTGGGGAACACTGGACCCTCCCCAGAGCCACTGTGGGAGGGTGGGGAGGGGCCGGACCCGCCTACCGCGTCCACTCACCTCCAGCCTGGGAGAGTTCCTCCCAGGATCCCTGACAGGCCAGAGGGAGGCAGGAAGGTGCAGGGCCTGACCGGGCCTCTGAGGTGGTGAAACCCTGACCTGGCCGTCTCCCCGCCCGCCCTCCTTCACCCCTCCCCTGGTACAGGGTGGCAGCCCTGGGCTCTTTGCATAATCCTGCGGCTTCGCTATCTTCACCCAGCGGCAGTGGACACAGCAGAAGGGAAGGGCAGAGCTGGCCACCATGGCGACACTCCTGTCCCACTCCGCGCGGCGCCCTCCCCTCTTGCGCCAGGCCATCAAGATAAGGCGCCGCAGGGTCCGGGCGCTACAAGATCCCCTGCCCCAACCGACTCAGGAGGTAGGAGTGACCTCATCGGGGAGAAGAGCTGGCCTGGGTGGGGCTCTGCGGTCTTCGGGTGCAGGCCCCACCTCTCTCAGGCTGGGGCTGAGTGTGTGGTCCCCTCCCTTGCTCACCCTGTCCCCTGGGCAGAGCCTTCTGGGCCAGCAGAGCAGAGTCTGTGTGTTCTCTGGGCCACCCTGGGCCTTGGGTCCCGTCTCTGGTGGAGCTGACCCCCACCTACTCTGCTCCTCCAGCTCCAGTGGCACCGGTCCCATTAGGCAGGGAGTGTCCCCACTGGGGCCAGGTTGCTTGGGGACCAGCTGGGCAACCCCCAGGCCTGCTTAGCATGACCCCCCGTCTCCCACCTCCGCTGCCGGGCCTCACTTCCGCCGCTGGGGTGCGAGCGCTGCCGATAAGCAGCGCTGCTTCCTCTGGGGAAGGAAAGGGGGTGGGGGCCCGGTGCCCAGAGCTCACGCTGCCGGGCAGCTGAGCACCGATGGACCTCAGCCACCCCAGGCCAGGGGGGAACGAGGAAGGTGGCGCAGGGGCGGGCCCCCCGGGAGGCCTGCTGTGGGAACAGGTGTGTGGCGCCAGTGGGGTTGGAGGCCAGGGCCCCGGGGCCCTGGGCCTGGGCCTGGGCCTGGGCCTCCGGGACACTTTGTCTTTTCTCCTTGCTCCCCAGATCGAACCTCCATCCCACCACTTCTCCCCTGAGGAGGTAAGAATCGGAGTGTTGAGGGGGTGAAGAAAGGTGCCAGGAAGCAGCCCCGCATCTTCCCAAACAGGCCCCTGGGATCCTGGCCATGGCGGATGGCAGCA